ACACAAAGACCTAACTTGAAAAATTATAAGATCAAAAACCAGATATTTTTTAAATATTTATATTTTTTAATTACAACAGGAAAATGTTAAAATTTTCATTGAAATATATTCTCATAATTTATTTTATACCTTCGTAAAACCACTTTCTGATAAAGAGCTCCTCCCTTACAGTTGTTGAACGTTTTTATTAATCTATATATATAAAAATGGATTGCTGTTCCTTAGTCTCGCTAAAACTCGAGAACAGCTGAACGGATTTATCTTATCTTAGTCTTGAAATGTTCGTGGAGGTTCAGGAAAGGTATAAAAGCTGAAAAAAATTTATTCATTACTGGGAAAACCATAAAAACAGCCCTTTTCTATTTCCCATACAAACGTTTTTTTTGACATTAGATTTGACAACTAACTAATATGTCAATCATTCTGTCGCACTTCAAAACACGGAGATTTATGGCTTACAGGAAAACTCCAAAAATATAAATAAAAAACGTAATAGATATTTCTTGATTATAAGGCGATACGAAGTTCGCCAGGTCTTCTAGTTAATTAATAAAATTTGTCTTTATACCATCTCAGCGACTTTAAAGATCATTTTGCGTTATTAAGTACGACTTCATTCCCATTTAATTTGAGATATAATACACAAAAGAGTAAACATCAGTCTAATGAAAATTATTTTTTATTTGATGTTTTTTTTTAAATATCCGCTGACCTGTTCAAATATTTATTTACTTACACGTTTTATTTAGTACACGTTTGTATAGATAAAATTTGTAATTTAAACATTTTAAGCGTAAAGGTGAGCTTGATTTTTTTAGTTATTCGAATAAATTGATAGAATGTAGTTTATTTCGAATTTCGATGTATCCTATTGCAAAATAGAAGCTGAGTTTCACATTCGTTAACATGTAACATTTTTTTTAGCTAAAACGTTAAACAAGAGCAATGGAATTTCTAACAAATTTTATGTATAAAATTTGTCGAAGGAATTGATAACTTTATTTAAAACTCAACTTTAATTCATATTTTTTTGATTCTTAGTATAGAAAAATGAATACAATAAGATTTACAACTCCCACATCCGATAAATCTTTTTATATTTCTACAGAAATTATAAAAGAATTAAATTAATTATATCTTAGGTAACTGAACCGGGATATAGGGCGTCTCAAACAACGTCAGCCCAGATTATGTTCAACAGAAACAACGGCTGAGTGAGATTCCGATTGAGTTCAGATCATTTAAGAATGATGTGAAGTTGTTTTCAGGGAAAACCTGAATAATGAGAAAAAAGTCAAATATCTATCGCAAAGCTATAAGACTATCACGTGAATCTTAGTAGTTAACTAATATGCAAAGCCACTTTTAGAATCTGCAATAAACTAGAAGATACGTAAAAAAATCTGCATACAGTCGGTTTCATATAATCCTAATTTCAACAATATATTAGTCTCTTATTTTTTAATTGAAAGCTACAGTTGATGAATCTCAATGAAACCTAAAGTTAAGTAAATATTAAAGCCACTGTTTCTTTTTATTTGTCTACTTAATGAAAGTGCACTATAATTTTGGTAAGTCCGTGAGATAACAAAACTTAATAAACTGGCACAGAATAACGCTGCGGGTTAAAATTAATGCCTCTTTTCAAAGTTCAAATATACGAGCACTAGCTTAGACTTAGACTAAGGATATCCGACCAACTTCAACATTGTTTATACGTTCCAGACAGCATTAGATAATATTGTGTTCCAAGAATATAAGGTTAAGACTAAAACAAATTTAACAGATAAAAAGGGACATTTTAATAAAAGTGAATAAAAAAAAATGATTTCCGAAAGAAGGTGTACAGCTATTTTTGTTTTGCCTGGCCAGTTCTAATAGATTATTCTCATAATAATATTATTTTCAAATAGAATATTTCATATTTTAAAATGAATGTAATCTCTTTGTTTAAATATTTTTATATTTTCCGATTTTCAAGTTCCATTGAATTTTTAGTTTATAAAAACTATCTTGATTATTAATATTGCTCAGTGTATAAGTTTTACGGATAAAATTTTGTACTTTTGTTAACGACGATAAACGTAAATTAATTTTACAAAAATGTAGTCTTAATTGCTAATTATTATATAAATTATCGGTCTAAAGGTTTCATTGCCCTCAAGTGAAGTATCGATTTTACTAATCACCAGTTAACGTCACCCGTAACTGTACGTGTCAATTCTACGACGTTCGAGTTACACTAATCGTCTACCAATTAGCGTGTTTACTAGACAGTTAAATTAAATGACAGACTCTAGATTAAGCATTCGTCTATATGTTGACAAAAAACGGATTAATTGATGATTGAATTACAATATTCTAAGCTTCTGATGCTAGGGACTCGTGTGGTTAAACTTTGTGATGCTTATTTGACGGACGGACAAATTTTTAGCTATATTACGTGTATCGAAATATCACCAAGAACCATAATTAAACGTTAATAAAAACAAAGTCATAAGTTAATAAAGTGTAAAATAATTCCTAAAAGTCTCCTTAAATCATTTTTTTTTTGGTGTGTGCAAAAATAAATAAAGGTTATTGCAAAATAACCGATACTTGGAGGAAAAGTAAAATAATTTAATAAATGCTTCTAGATATTCGAAAATTATAGTTTTATGACACTGAGAATTTTTGAGAATATTTTTTTAAAATATTTTTCTTCTTTTACTCGTTTTTTTTTATTTTTCTACTTCAAAGTCGTAATAGATCAGCCCAATAAAGAGAATCCGGAACACAAAAACGCTTTGATGCTTACATTTCTTTTTACAGACTTGGTTCCTTTCAAATGTTCTGTTAAATTCCTTAAATATTTACTTTTTCATTTTCATTAAAGAATTCTGTAAAAGAATGAGAAAATTAAGAATGATAAACATTACAAAACTTGGAGTTAAAATATATTTAACGTTATTATATTTAATAACAACGGAATATTTAGTTTGTATATTTTAGCTATAATTGTGAACCCTAAAAAATCTCCCATATACAATATTTTTGGTATCTAGTAACTATATGTATGGTATCCTAGAATAAGCAATTCAAATTTGGTAACTTTTGCAAGAAATATCGTTTTTAAAACTGTAAATACAAATGAGGAAACAATATATAAGTTAGTCTTTTTTCTATAAGCTTGGCTATTCAACCAAAGAATGTAATAATAATGAATTATCGTTAGATTAAAGAGCGTTTTCAGAAATCCAAATATTATTGAAACAAAAATTTATTATAGTTCAGCTTTGTAATATTAAAAGTAATTTATAAATATTCGTTTGCCAACACTTGTTCATTTTTTATACATCCATTGTAATCGAGAGAAGTCTGTTTGTTGCAATAAAGAACAGAAAATTGCTATTTTTGTATAAACAATAATGACTATAACAATATGGCTAGGAATAAGTTTTTCGTATACGACGCGTTTTCTTTAATTTTAGTTCAACATAGTACCAATGTTTTGGTTCCTTTACAGCAACCGTGATCACTGGCAGACGAGATGGAAGTTAGATGATGATCTTAGCTATTTCTGTTTTAAACCTTTAATATTATAAAAGTGTTTAAGTGATTATCAATCTAATTATATTTTTACCATGTTTGTTCATTATCAAATATGTTTGCTTTCACTCTCTTATAGTCGAAGCTGGCTCAACTACGAGTATTTTCATTTTTTGTGTAAAATGCCTAAGTTTATTTACGGACATCCTTCCATTGATTGAGAAACATAATCCTCTATTCTTACTGTATTATTCACAGAAAAATTGTTTCTATATATATGTATATTACTTTCACCGTGTATTAGTCACATGTAATATAAATATTGTAATAATTGTGAAATTAAAATTTGATAATATTTTAACGGTCCAAATATTTACATGAACTGTGTTAGTGAATTATAGTTAGAACAATACAAAGGGAGTATAAAAATGGACAAAAACTATTTTCCACTATGGGAGTAAATTGAAGAAGCACTATCAATCCGATCATTAATATCTTCATTACGCTCTCAAAATAATCAAATCCAATTTCTTTAATGACGGGAAGATATATCTATAGCATATATACATATATATGATATCGAACTCCTATTTTAATAAAAGATAAATGATAAACTTATAAAAATGTTACATACTAGTATGTATTATACAGGTTATAAATTTTGGTGGATTTTTTGTATGAGGTAAAAATTTTAAGAGATAATTAAATAGGACATGTGAGTTTTCAATGATTATAAAAGTTATAAATACATAGTTGATTATTAAATCAAAGCAATTTATTTTGAAAGGTAGTAAAAAATTATTGACACACATTAGTTTCATAATTAGGGAAAAATAAAAGAGGCTGTTTTCGAATATTACTTTATTGTAACACCGTAGTGGTCTTACAAAAAAATATAATAGAAACGGCAAAAAGAAACAAACTTCGTTCAGACAGGGTGCGCCAGAGAAACTTACTTATTTGAAAGGTCAATAAAAAAAAAAGTACTTCAGTTATTGTTTTAATTTTTTTTTATTTGAGAATACAATATCACAATTTTTTTTTTCATGCAGTCTTAAAAATGACATCGGATAAATGGTGACCCCCATTGCGCATACACTGATAAAGTCGATTTTTGAAATTCGTATCCACTCTTCGCAGCATATCAATCGGTATGTTGGTAATGGCGTCGCGAATGTTGTTCTTGAGGTGTGCTATGGTCCGTGGTCGATCGATATAAACCAGGGAAATGTGGAAGTGAGCCTCTTCACTGAAAAAAACGACTGCGTCTTCAGGCAGGTTGTCAATCAGCATTTCACATGCATTTTGACGGGCAACAAAATCGCGTTCAGTTAATTCTTGCACAACAGCCAATTTATAGGGATGAAATTGAAGGTCTTCATGGAGAATTCGTCGAACAGTGGTATCAGAAATTCCCATAGCAGCTGCGTGTTTGCGAGCCGAACGCCGGGGAGAACGCACAACTGTCTGCCTCACTCTTTTGATATTTTCAGGAGTTCTGATGGTCCGTTGAAGTCCATTTCTGGGTTTAGCGACACTTCCACACTCCCGAAATGAGTTAAACCACGACAGAATCGAATTACGGCCAGGAACGAGTCTGTGAGGAGGAATTTCAAAGCGAGCGCGGAAGGCACGTTGCGTAGTAACAAGTGAGCGACCGTTAGAAAAGAAGCTCTCAACTGCGAAGGCCCGCTGCTCTCTAGACCAGAGCATGATGGCAGCTGACTGGAGGGAGAAACAAACTTGGGAACTTCCCCCTCCAGATGCGCCCCCTCTTGCCCCTCTACCCGCCCAACTTACCGCGCGGTAATTTTTTTAAATAAGTAAGTTTCTCTGGCGCACCCTATATTTACAAAATATTTTTATTTATTTTTCATAAAAGATTATGAATCTCTTACAAGTTTGTTTTAAAGACCGTGTTTTAAAATGACTCTTAAAAGCAGGTTTTAAATATTGTAAAAAGAACAACATCCAACAAAGCTTTTAGTCTAGACCTAAATTAGTTAGCCAAATTACTTCGTTGTAACTTTGTACTTCGAAAACCTCATAGCTGTTCTAATACACGCACAATTAATACTAATAGGTTAAATATTTCATAAACTTCTACAATAACTATTTCCTAGAAACAAGCTTTGTATATAAATTGAGGTGGGTGGAAAATAGAAGCGTATGGCTCCTTTCTAGTTCCTTCTATTCATACTAAAACTGAAAACTTTATTTAAGAAAAACATACATTTTGAGCTATACGGTGCTGTCCGTAATATATTCTTTAAAATATTTTTTTTAGTACAATAGCTGTGAAAGTCTCTAACAATTAAGAACCTCGCCGATTTAAATGACTTCAGTATTAAAATTAAATCAGAGCAATTTACGTATATTGAATGTGTTTGCATAATATCTCCTCAATGGAATTGAAAAATCTCTTCTAATTTGACCTGTATATATCAACACAAACTATGTACACTTTCATTAAAAACCTTCTTCGCAAATATACTATATTTAATTAACGCGTCCCCAGAACCATTCTGTATTTATTAAGCACAGGCAAATAAAGACAAATGATCATTTGTTCGTTCTACCAACAGTTTAAAGTACTGCTTGTGGGTCACAATCAAGTAAGTATTAGTAACGTCAACAGAGAACAACTCGCGTTGGGTTCACGTAGCTGGAACTAATCGATGAATTAAAATTTATTTCAATAAATATGGTTTACATAGAATTTTTATAAATATACAAGGTATTATGCATATCGTAACTTATAATTTCACTCAAACTAATTGCAATTTAATTCTGTTGAAAGTAAATGAAAATAGGCAGTACAATAAGAGTCACGAAGATTGTAAAATTGTTTAGTACGTCTAGTTTTCAATCACATCCTTTTCGTACTATTGACAGTTTCAAAGCCTAACATAGATTTAATTATTTTGGACAGATATATTTTTTCAATGCTGATTGTCAATATATACATAATTTTGTAATATATTTGGTTAAAATTGTAATGAAGTCATAAATTTGAAGCTTTTTCTCTTGCTTATAACTCTTAATGTTAATAACTTAATTGAAAATTATAAAAAAAAATCTGCAGAATTATTTATTTTACGCTTTAAAATTTAAAAGAACATAAGTGAGAGCCGATGGCACTTTAATGGGAATAGAAGACAAAGCTATCGCTTTTTCTTCATTTGTCCAATCTCAGTAGTTTCAAATGATTTGGACGAATTAATTGATAGAACCGTTCCGTTTGTTTCTATGGGTGAAATTGAATTTGTTACGTTTTAATTACATTCGTGTATAGGTTATTCTGGTTATATTGTTGAAGATTTATTTAAGTCATGTTCAATACTATTGACCCTCCACATTGTGTCTAAATATTGTCATGTATTAAAAGTTTGTTACTATTACACAAAAAGTGTTTGCTTTTCATTTGGAAATATACTATGTAAATATCTTGAGATGTATAGTGAGCATTGGGTTTTGAATTATATTTCCAGAGAAAATACAAAATACAATGAATTTCAAATCAAGCCTCTCAATTGGTTTAAATATTTATAACATGAGTTTAGTAATATAATACAGTTTGATAAGTAACTTTCGCTCAAATTTGGTTTTTCACTGTTAAGTTTGAGCTTATAGTATTAAGCCTAAGGGGGTAAAATATTATTTAAGTTCCATTAATATTATCTTTTATCCAAATCTTGTACCAAGTATTTTCTATTAAAAAAACATTTTCTTAAGGTAATAGTGATTAGCATTTAGTTCTTAACATACGTTAAATAATGAAACCAAGATAATACAATGTAATAAAAATGAAAATTAAAACAGTACATATATTAATTGCATACTACAAAAAAAAAATATTAATATTTTTTTAAGCATAATGACACCCATATGAATATTTAAATAACTTCCCACAACCTGAAACACTGGAACTAAATAGAATACGTAATTAAATTAGAGCTGTCAATAAAATCTAGCTTGTAACATTTTTTTTATTTATATGTACCTATTCGTACGTGTCTCAGGAACATTAAAAAAATTTTAAATTATGAATTAAAGTTCTTTTTTAAGGACGTTACAAGGAATTTTAAGATAAACCCAAAATTATATTTTTGTTAACAAGATAAAGCTTTAAAATATTGTAATTTTGGTCTAAACTTACTCGTATTTATTGCTTTTAGGTTTTTTTGATCAATAAAAAATAATTTGCAATTCCTTCACATTTTTTCTGACATATACTCGTACTATTGAATGCGCTGAACCATAAAATAAATAAATAATAGAGCACTATAATTGACTGAATTAATCAACATGTAATTTTTTCATCACTTTGTAATCACAATGGTTTATATATTATTCAAGTGAAAATTTACACAAATAGAAATAGCATGAATAAAAATATATCGTAAATATTGGAAACTTAACCGCACTGAAATGAACATCTACAGTCACTGAACTTAAATCAAATACTCTCTCTACCCCGACCGAATTTTACTGTCAAAATGTTCTCTCAGATACATTATGTAGCAATAGATTGTGAATTCACACCTGATCGTATATAACAATTATGCAATATGTACATATATTTGTAAAATATATGCAAACAATTAAGTCATTATTTTAATAGTAAACATAAAGCCAATTATTAAATTAAGTTTATTGTTTTTGTATTTAAATTAAAACCAACTTATAGGCTATTGTGTATAATAAAAGTATGTATTGATTAGTATTAATTATTTAACTTAATTGTTTTATCGACTTAACAATATCGATGTCCCTTATTAATAGTCGTAAGCTATTTTACAAATTACTTATGTCCTGTATATATTTTTCCTTTTTTTAATTTCAATAGGCTGCTTGTTCAATAAATATTTAATGGTAGTAAAAATTCCAATCAGATTTTTATGATATTTTATCATTTTGTTTCAAATATTTTATTAACAAAAGAAGTAATACATTTTTATTTCATTAAATATATTACAATTTTATGTTATAACCAATTCTGCTATCACATTAACCAAGGATATAGTCTTTATCAATAATTGTTTAAAATTTACTCACCTAGCTAGTTAAAATATGTCTTTTCTTAATCTTGAAGTAAAGATATCAAGATTATTTTTAAGGTTGTAGAGCCTAGCTGTGGTCAAGTAATTACAGCGTTAACACTGGCTGACTCAACTGTGGAAGTACTGCCCTTTCGTACAAGATGGCTTGACGCAGTCATTAATCCCTGCATTTCATCCGATGAGTGAGAGAGCCGGTTGCCCTTTCCCCGTTCCCACCATTTTTTAATTTCTAAATAACCAAGGTCAGCAACGCATCACGTGATGGTAATTACTACCCATCCAGTAGTCTGCTTATTTGCCACAGTTGATATAAAAAAATATGTCTTATTAAATTATATACTCGAAACTTTTAAAACTACTTTAGACTAATATTTGTATTCATATACAGATTCTTTTTCAAATTATTAGATGAATTAAGTAGAAATGCTTTGAGAAATTAATAACACAGAATATTTGTTCATTTTATTGGAAAACTGAGTTGCAAATAAATCTTGTTAATTAAATTTCATATCTTCAAAATATTATCCTAGAACTAGTCAAAGGCAATCAACCGTTTCATTATAGTCTTTTTTATGGTAAACAATTTTTAACCCTATCTATAGTAATAATAGTCAACCAAAATTTGTTAAATAATTAACCCACGAACATGTGTAATAGTTAGGTATATTATTTTTTCTCCATTTGGACACAATAGTCTAATAATGGGACTAACAATAGCTAATTATAAAAGTTGTACAAATCCTTTTTAAAGATGACTTTAAATAAAATGATAGTTTTAATTTGGTCAATTTGTTTTAAATGTAATGCTTAAGTAAAAGAGACAGTTTTGACAGCAAAAACTCTCAAAAAACTGAATTGGAACAAAGTGGATTTAATTTTACTAGTTTATAATGCTTACATATTATTAGTAGAAAATACGAATTTCTCATTATATTTTTATTGGATAAGATGATTGTTAGTATTTCCAAAATAAGAAGTCTTGTCTTTTCAGATAATGAAAGTGTGTCTCTTGTGTATGTTATAGGTATATGAAAATATTGACGATTTATTTTACACTTCAAAGACATCGCTTGTTATAAATATTTGAAATAAAATTTATTAAACATGATTATAATTAGTAAATTTAAACTTGTTTTCTGATTCATTCAGATGTCTTTTTAGAAAAACATATATATTTTTAGGTTGGAAACTTTTCACACCCCCCGCGTAGTTTTTAAGTTATTTTAAATTTACAGCAAGTACTTGTAAAAATGTTAAATAATATTTTCATGTTATTATTGCATTTTTTATAATGTTATAAAATGGAAATATTCTAGAAAGACGTCAATTTTGTGTCTAATGGACTGTGAGCGCTTAGCTCGTTGTATGGATAGATACATTTAACGTGTTATTGTCAGGGTCCAAGTTATGAACTTGGTTTGATACCTTGTGATTTATTTACATAATTATGTATAAATTTGACAGAATCGAATGATAATACGGTTTTGAAAGGAATTGGAATAAACAGAAAAGTAATCCTGTAACCCATACAACATATAAATTTATAGAACATCAAGTTGTTACATGAAAGGATTTTATTTTAAATTCTTTAAAATACCTCTTCACGGACTGTATGCTGTGTTATTTTCATTTGAAAAGAACTGCTTAAACATTTCGCGATATGAAAATACCGTTTGTCTTTGTACTACGCTCTAGTGAAGGCAGAATTTTTTAAAGTGAATTTTATTCTTAGTCTTACATCTGAGACGTGAAAGCCTCTTAACACCGCTTGAACCTATCTCTCAAAAGCTTGAAGACTTTTGAAGTATTTGATTTCGGGCAATAGAAAGCCTTAAAAGCTAAGCTTCTTAAGTATCATGTTATTGTTATAACTGGCTCTCGTTGACAAAAAGAAAGAAATATTTTGAAGTGATACTTCGGTAATGAAAAACTTATTATATTATTTATAAACATTTATTAACCCATAAAATTTTCGAAAGTTTGCAAAATTAAAACGAGAATACACTTATTACATATTTATTATAAGAGCACTAAAAATTATTTTATCACGTCGGTTTTTTGGTAGAGAAGTTCTAGTTAAAATGCGTCCAACTTTTGCAGAGATGAGAAAGAAAGACCAGACAAATGCACAAAATTTGATTAATCTTTTATTCTGGTATATAAGTTGTTAATATACCCATGTGTATATTTAATCTATAGTTAAAAATTATTAATCACTTTAAGTTTAGGCTGTAACGAAAAAAATAAATTAAGACAATCGTACTTATTCTAATCCTATTTATCCTAACTAAAACTAACTTCATAATGACATTATTAATGCAAAAGAAATTCTGTTTCTGTTCTGTCAATGTTTGTCTGTCTCTGTCTGTTTTTATTTGATTTAAATGAAGTTTTGGTACTTATACAGGTATTCCAGGCTACTTTTAATGTTAAAAATATGAAACGTACGTAACAGTATTGTTAGCTCTTGGTTTGGCAACAATGTACGATGACGCACAAAGGAGCAGTCGTAGCACATGGGATGGTAGTACTTTAGCTGGCGTCTTTAAACAGACTCTACCGGTAATTGGTACGGTTAGATCGGCAGATGTAATAAATGAATAATATAATAAATGAATGTTTGAAAACATCTGTATTATGAATACTTGTAAAAAAGTTTTGTCTAACTTTATCTCTCTGATTTAAAATTTAAGAAACTTTATTCACTTTGGGTGCCGCATTTCATGACTGAAGAGATAAGGCAACAACGTACGAAGTGGTGTCATGAGATGTTAAAAAAGTTTGATAGCGGCCCATCTTATAACGTCAATTCAATTGTTACATGTGACCAAACTTGGCTTTACTAATTTGACGTCCGTAATAAATCTCAGAATAAAGTGTGGGCGTTTCTTGATGAATAAAGGCAACGTCGGTCAGAATATCTCAATCCCTTAAAAAGTAATAGCGGTAGCATTTTTCTCGAAACGCGGAATTGTAACTACCGTCGTGCTTGATAAACAGAAGACTTTTACTATAAGTTGGTACCCTGAAAATTGTTCGCTTCAAGTTTTAGAAACGTTGAAAAATGAGCCACCGTACTCAAGACCGACACTTGATTTTTACATAAGGACAACGGTCTTGCAAATCGAGCTCCTAAAACTACGGAGTATCTGCGTATAGTTGGAGTGAAATTACTGGAACATCCTTTTTTCAGTCCAGATTTAACGCCGTGTGATTTTGCACTTTTTTCTTATATGAAGAAACAAAAGAACGCAAGTTTTCTAACGATGAAAAGCTCATAAGAGCGTTTGAAGATATATGCGATAGTAGGTAGGTTTCGGACCTAAGGTTTTAGAACTTGGTTTGAACGTACGGGAGCATGTCTTAGGGCTGATAGAGAATTTTTGAAAAAAAAAAATACGTCAAAATTTAGGTAGTGGTCTACTTATACATAAATAGGATCGTATCAGTGGTTAAGTTTGTCATCAAAGACATTTCACATTCTAACATGAATGTTGTGTCTGTTAGTATTCTTAAACTAAACGTCAACAATGCACTCATTAAAAAAAATGTCTTTTGGAAAACTACTATAGTATGTTGTGAATGAAAACTTCACTTACTGCCATGTCGAATTTTGTTAGGAGTACTTCGTCGAATAACTTAATGTCAGTTTAATAAAGTTAAGAGGTACGACATGTTTATAAAAAAGAATGAAAATATTTAGCAAATATAAGTAAATATTATCCTAATGAAGACTGAAATAGAGGATAATAGGCTGTTTAGATATGAAAATAAAGAAAAAAATATGTTAAAAATATTTAATTATTGGGTTTTTAAATAACAAGGTATTACACAAATTATTTATAACATATAAATATAGATTATTAGGTGATTTAAGGTCATGTACACCTATATTACATGTTACTGTAATAATGAAAAAGATATATATCGGCGCTACCAGCTTCAATAACGGATGCGACTTGAAAATAATTTGATACTGTCATCAATTCTTATTAAAACCTCATTAGTATTTATGATTATTGTTAAAAGTAAAACGAAATGAAAGGAGAATAGAACTATGTTTGAATCTTGTTATAAATATGACGTCTGGATGCACGACGGCGGACTCTAGATTTGAGAATTCAGAATTGATACTCGTAATTCAGAGTTCAGTGAGTGTGTATCATTGAAGTATGTTATTATGAAGAATCTTTGAGAAATACAGGAGCATTAAGATCAATTGCAGTTTCATTTTAAAATATCATCGAATGCTCTAGAAGAAGTGACATTTGTTACGTCAGCGAGGCTGGCGTCTCTCTCTTTAAAAACAACGAATGTGTAATAAATCCGATATATATGTATATTATACATCTTAAGATTTTGTATTGCACACTGCATTGCATGTTGCAGATTATACAAATCAAACTTACATCTCATATTGGCAAATCTATTAAGGAAATAGGACTAATATTAACTTATACTAATATGAGACAAGTTATTATAAGAATAAGTTTATAATTCAAAAATACAAAAATAATTATATAATTTATGAAAAGTAGACTTTATTTATTTAGGCGTATTACTTCTTAACATAATTTCTTAACGAATTCTACGTTTACTATCTATTTAACCTCAGTATTTCTTTTTATCCCAGTTCCAAGTATTACATTTTGTTTATTGTACTTAAAATATAAATTACAATGAAAAAATACTTTAGAATGTTCATTTTAACATTTAAATAACTTTGAAATGGCCGTCTTCGTGGGAAAATGATTTTTAAAGATCAGTAGTCGCTTCAGAATACACTTTTATTTAAAAGTTTATTACTTGTAAAAATAATTGAAACTATACAAAGACATTCTTTTGGAATAAACGTAATTGAGTTTTTTCAAGCATTACTAAGACCATTTTTAAATTGTTCTATGTATCTCATTTTAGTTCATTTTACTTTTTCTTCGAGTGAACACTCCCATTGTCCCATTAGTAATAAATACTATAAACCTTATAAAACAATTTGTAAATAAAATTATATTGTAATAATACTAAAACGTTTCATGCTCTTTGAAATGCCATTTCTAAAGCTTTGCTTAAGTATTTCCTTAGCCATCCTCCAATGTAGAACCGTTGGTTAGGAGGACAAATAAGTGAATAGGTACCTTTACCAAGATTGAATTACTAGTATATTGAAATAGATCAATATGACCTAGTAAATAAAATATTATTACAAATATATTGTTAATGATATCTAAGATTCCTTTAAATAATACTAAGATTTTCGTACAGTATCGTTGGCAGTAAATGAAAACCAATAACACCAACTGACGGACATTTCCATCTCGTCTGCCCATGATCACGATCGCTTCAAAGTAATTGAAGTCATTGTTGAAAGGCAGATTTCGTAATTTGAAAGAGACTTTGAAAGAGAAGGATGTTCTCAATTCCTCAAAAATCTTTTTCTTATGTATGTGCACGATTTCTCGAACAATCTTACGCCGATTTAAGTTTTTTTTTTTTTTATCAGAAAGAATACATCCGCCAGGTGGCTTTTATGGTTACCAAGTCCGGCTTTTATAATGGGATCCTCTAAAAATTTAATGGAATCAAAAAAGCGAAACTTAAAAAAATTGCATAAATCTTTTCTTATATAAATACGCATTAGACAGAGTCGTTCTTTACATACTTCTTAAGACCTTTGGAAACTTTGTTCTGTATTTCTTCCTTCATTACACTTTAGTCGCTCGTTTTTATTAATTTCAAACTAATGAGCTCGACTTTTCCTATGCGAGATGCACGTAAGGTAGGTTTCTCTTACTATGTAGAAGGTAAGATATATATTATTTTTAAGTAATAAACTATTTTTCACTTAAATAATATTCCCTAACCTATCTAATAATAAGGGCCTTGAAATGTGATAAGATATAAAGAAATTGTATACATTTAGTGAAGTATTAAATTATATTATTGTAAAATAAATCAAAATAGTGTTCGTTTAGTTACATGTGTTGTTTAGTCGATTTTTGTGCAGATATTTAGAATTTATTGTTAGGTAAGTTATGTAGGTTAGGAAATAGTATGTAAGTGTAAATTTATTTTTGCTTCTCACTTCCAGATTCCTTTATTCTTTGCTTGAAGTCGGACATTTCATTTAAAAAATATTTTACGTAAAATTATAAAAAAGCGTTGTTAATAACCTTGAAACCTTGGAAACCTTGGTTTTATTTAAATATAGATAAAGGTAATATGAAATTATAGATTATTGATTGAAGTGTTTAAGACATACTCGAACTTTTTATGTAAATTGTTAGCTGGATACTCTTGGTACAAAAAAATATAGTTTTGAAATTAATTTTCATTCTATTTCAATAGCAAGTTTTGCTTTGTGATATATTTTTTGAAGCACAAGCAACGCACGTTTTTTCACAAAAATTTTAATATTTTTGTTCATTATTATTTTCTGCGTGTATCGAAAATTATTTTACACTTTTCAGTTTGATAGATTCAATTAAAGCGTGTGTTTTTAGTTTTTAATACTATTTTTATTTTTAAATTTTAGTGAATAGCTACCGAATGTCATAAAAATAGTAACGGTAAATATTAAGTTACATATATAAATAACTATTTTGTTGACAGTGAAAAAGCTCTGTGTAATATACAAGTATAATTGTATATTATGAATTTTATATAGCAATAGTATTACTATTAGATTTGTCGGTACATTTACAAATGAGAACGAACCAAGACTCAAGTATTATATGTATAAGAAAGTACCTACCTATCCACACGTTTGTGTATGTATGCTAAGTTATTGACTAGCTCTACCTTTCTTACTCTCACTTAAAGGATACGGAAAGAAATTCATGAATCCTAACAAATTTAATCATTGTAATTGGATAATGACACTGAATTATTGCTTTGGCGGCACTGCTGTCATTGTTAGGTGTGGAAAGTTAAAAAAAACATTGAAGTGGTAGAAGTAGTGCAAAATCGAGGTTTGATGACTATTTGATATAATCACAAAACAAGTGAACGGCGTCAAAATTTTATATTCAAAGTTTCAGTGGTCAACATGTACAGATGAATTGATATATAAAAGTACACACAAGCATATATATATTCGTGTAACTGTTTTGAAAATTAGTTTTCGGTATTAATAGAATAACAGAATTAACAATAAGACGCTAAAAAACTGGCTTTCAAATATTTGTTTATTTTATTGTGATGTGTAAATAATTTCGGAGGAGATGAAAGAATTGATGGTAACAACAATTTCTATAAAATATTTCAAGCCACACTAAAATACTAAAACACGTTTACATGCATACACACTTTTTGTTCTTATTTGTCCACAACAAATAAAAAAAGCATTTCCAGAGTTGAGTTTAAACAATAATAGTACCAATGATTACATTATCTCAATCATAAAAAGCAAAATGTATGAAGTCTTGTACAAAGCACGAGGTTAATTTAAACTTCAAACTACAACGGTTTTCCTTTGATGTATAAAGCAAAGTTTGAGCGCCGTGACCTATATTTAAATGACTGTACTTGTATTTGTGTTAACTTTTATGATACAGACTTCTTAGTTAGAAG